CCACGTAGCATCCTTGCTTTGTGTTACTGCTTGTGTTATGTTACTGCTTCGCGTGTATGTGTGCGCAGGCATGGGCATGCATGGGGAGTAGGGGTGGTGAGAATACATCGGTAGGTAGGTCGAGCGCGGGGAGGTTTCCACATTGAGGCGTGTGGTAACGCAGCAGCGGGTGGCTTGGGGGTTGGTGTATGTGGGGGACAGTAGCAGGGTTCACGGCATGAATACCTGGCTGCCGCCAGCCGAATGGCGCATGAGCGTCATGATGATATGTGTAGCAGCGTGGGGTTATTCACGTGCTGCGGTCTGCAGTGCTGGATTTGTAACTCTGGGCTTTAACGGCCCTGCTTTAAACCTCAATACGTTCTGTGTGTTGTGTGCGTGTTTTTATGCCAGAAAAGAATGAGCCATAGCAGGAGGACGAAGAAGGCGAGAAGATGAAAGATTTCCAACTGTGGGGTTGTTGGTGTGAAACGAGAAGGGAGAGATTTCACGGCCCGGCCGTTGACGTCCAGTATGGTATATCGATTTTACACACTGGCGCAGGCGCCTAGCGCCTCCGGGGCCTGACTCCCCGGCTCGTATCACCAGAAGGCAGAAGGCCGCTGCTCAATCCTTCCGAGAGCCCCGGACAGCTTCAGCAGCCTGTCCGGTGACCAATGACCAATTGAGCAGTACCCCAGTGGTTGTATCCCCTCTGCATTTCCTTTCTGCCGCCGTCCTTTGGACTTGTTTCAGAATTTGTTGCACAAGCGTTCCTTGTATCGGTTCAAACGTTGTATTCAATCCGAGGCTCGTCCTGGTCGCACGGCTCTTGCTTGCTCTTCTTTCTTTCTTTCTCGGACGCGGCGCCTCTGTTCTGTTTTGAAGTACAGTACGTCTTACATTGTATGTGGTGTTGCACGCGTAGCTAGAGCCGTGACTACCTTCCATTCTGTTGTCTAGGCGGTTGCTGGTTGGGGGTTAGAGGGGAATAGGAGGGGGGACTGTACGGAGAAGGTGTAGATATGTAGACACCATACAAAGACGGGCAGGCAGGCTGTGTCTTGCTCGTGATGGCAATTCACGTTCGTACCGCAGACGTCGTGGACAGTTTTGGGGAAGGGGTCAACCCCCTGCATTTGGCTTTGCTGGTGCTTGCGCTTCTGGTTGCGCTTCTTGTTGCGATAGCTTTTGCGCCCCTCTGGGCATTTCGAGTGGTCGCTGTGCCCTAGCAGCTCGGGGTTACACCTCGACTGATGGGCGCCTACATTTAGTTACGTGTTTCTGGCGGACAGGGGGTTGTAATGGGAGCTTCGCCTGTGCACAAGGCATCAGGCTGCCATCGTTTATCCAGATTGGATGTGTGAAGGCAGCAGGTAGGTAAGTAGGTAGGTAAGTACCTAAATAGCTAGTAGGTAGGTAGATGGTGCGCCGCAACTGAGATGCAAGATGGCAGCGTGTGGCTGGTCGGGCATTTGGGTTTTTACTGTGTTAGGGTTTTAGGTAGGGCTGTAGCTCTATTAGAATGTTAGAATAATTATAACTAATTATAATATATAATTTCTAATTAGAATTTTAGAAGAGCAGGCCTAGAATGGGTTAGAACGTTCTGATGTTGTACTTTTTGAATGCCCCGAAACCAACACACATTTAAAGCGAAACGACAGCCTTGACTCGTTTAGTCCCCCAAAAATGACCGACTCCGGTGCCGGGCCGTCTAAACAAACAACAAAGAAGGATACTTACACGTATGGCAAGAGCGAGCTGGATGCGGCGGCCTATTGTGAGGCACTGAAAAGCGCCTAAGCTAAGTGGAACGCGGTGTGCATGATGATGAGGTTATGATGAAGCTGATTGGAGGGCTAGAGGTGCAGGAGTGAGCGGGTGGTTTGGAGTTCTGGTGGTGTGGCTGTGCGTTGGGCCCTGATCCTCTCTATTTCCCAGTGTCCAGGCGATGTACTCAAGGGTCCAGAAGTCAGTTTATTATTGCTGGCTTTGGTGGTATTTGCGTGCATGTTGTGTTCGTGACAAGCGTGCTGGAGCCCGATTCGGGTCGGGGCACCCCTGGGTTCGGCTGGCAGACCCCCAAGGAATCGCCCAACTGACAAGATAATCTGGAAACGTCTGCTAAAGGATGAGAGGTCATATAACCGAAGTTAAAGTACTTCTTTAAATCCGGGCTGAGCAGCTAGCCAGACCAAGACACCGGGACGAGAAACCCAAACGCGTTCGTTACAGTACGACTAACAAGAACAAGGCACCGGGGACGTGGACATATGGTTGGGGAGAAAAGACGCCCAGCCTGCCTGCCAGAGCGCGCATGCTACTTCGTGCGGCCCTTCCGGGCTACTGTGCTCTTCCGCATTGGTAACCAGTAGGCAGCCGACGGCCTCGCTTGGGTTACTTTGGCCCCACGCCTAACCCAGCGAAACATTCCCCCACCCACCCAGTCGCGTCACATTCGCTCCACCACTGTCTGCCTCACAGCTACGGACCGGTGAATTTAGACCAGCACCGCATCGGACCTCCACCGCCCGTGCGCCTTAATCTCCTCAAGACCCACCCCAGCATTGGCAGCCGCGGGGTCCCGTCCTTGCGCAAGCTGTGGGCCGATATCCTAGCGAGATCTAGCCTCAGCTCCGGCTCGTATCCCTGCAATTCTCCCAGCAATGCATGCAGCCTGTCAGTGAAATCCCTGCGCCGCCAAGCCGAGCCCCGCTTGCCCGGCCAAGTGATTCCCCGTACGAAGAGTGGGGAGTGAACTCAGGCCGTTCTCACGCACTCCAGGTGCCGCTGCACTATGCGAGCGATGGGGATGCCGCTCTGGGTGAGCGCTGCAAGGCACACCAACGCCCCCGTGCCCTTCTGGTCTGTCTTGCTACGTACGATCTGCAGCCCCACACCCCCTCCCGGCAACTCCTCAACGCAGCCCACCTTCAGGGCCGCCAACTCGCTCCTCCAGAGCATCTTGAAAAAACCCAAGACCAGCCAGCAGGCGTCCTGGGTGAACTCCATTGCCCTCCGCGGCTCCGCATTTGCCCTGCACCGTAGCTACGCCACGAGCAGCTTCAGCACCCCCAGGGGCAGGGGTGCCTTCGTCTTGGTCGATGCCGACTCCAGCCTCGCAGCAACGCTTGGCCCAGGGTTCGCTTGACCAGCGGGTCGCGGCTGATATATGCCTCTGGCGAGACTCCCATGAACCACTGCCAGTCCGCCAGGGTGCTCAGCGTGCCGATGACGGTGGAGGCCATGTACCGGCCAACTGCATGCGCTATGAACAGACAGACCAGGTCCCGATTGAGGTCAGACCCACGCTGGCGGGGCAGGGCGCCCGCCTCCGGCACCCCTGCGACCTCTGTGCAGAAGTGTACAAAGTGTCGCCACCCCGACTCGTAGGTGACGGATGAGCTGTCTGTAACCGCGCTGCCGTGTAATGCCACAGTCAGCTGTGCCAGTTCCTCCGAACACTCCCATGGGCCACTGTTCCGATACCCGCCGCCGCAAGCAAGCAAGTGGTGCAGCGGTACCAACCGCCGGGGTAGGCTCCTGGGGTGATTCCGAGGCACTGACGATGCGCCGAGCAGGGGCAGGCCTCACAGCGCAGATCCCCAGCTCCGCAGCAACGCCCACAGACGGAGCAGCTTCCCTCCTCCCGGTGACAGCCTGCCGGCACTGGCCAACGGGGTGCGGGGGGAATCTAGTTGAGCCTGAGCACAATCAAGTCGTACTCGCTGGGTGCGGCTTCGGCAACCCACGGGAAAAGGCAGTGCCGTCGGGAAGGGCGACCCAGCACTGCAGCGTGCCGGTGCAGGGGTGCCGAAAGGCCATGAATCGGCGCGCCTCTGGCGCCAGCTTGACGTGGTGGAAACCGCTCGCCAGGTCGCGCTTCCCCAGGAAGCCGTTGGCTGGCAGTTGTTCGAGAAGTGTGGCGAGATCACGGAGCGGGCAGGGGAGCTTGGTCATGCACTCGTTGACCCCAGACCGAGAGGGGTCGGTTATGGGACGGATGGAGCCATCAGGCTTGAGGACGACGTGCAGGGGGTTGACGACGGCAGCAAAGTCGGTCTCGGAGCCATGCACGCTGGGGTCATATTGCTCGGTGACGCCGGAAGCCAGGAGGTCATCGAAGTGCTGGCTCATGTCGGCGAGGTGTGGGAGGATAGAGGGATAGTTGTGGAGGTGGTGGGACGGGTTAGGCTCCGCATGGAATGCCCAGACGGCCGTGTTGCGGGATGCTGGCATATCCACTCCATACCGCAGCCATGCCTCGGTGATGAGCTTGCTGCCCGCGTGCCCGAACCAAGGGCGCCCCGGGGCTGGAGGGAGCGGTTCGGGGATTATGGCCGCCCCGCCCGTAAAGCTCAACCCCACTGCCGGCACCAGCACCACCACCGCCGCCGCCGGCGATCCGGCACCCCCCCTCCTGCCCGCCGCCTTGCCACCCGACATCAGAGAGTAAGTGGCGGCGGCGGCGGCAGCAGCCAGTTGCTCGTCCAGCTCTACTCGTACAAAGCCATCCAGCAATGGCGACCTTGGTGCCGCCTCCGCCGCCGACAGTTTTACTTCCGGCTCTCCGGCGGCCGCCTTGCCCGTTGGCTGAGATGGTGGCGGTGGTGGCGGCGGCGGCGGTGAAGGGAACACCGGGTCCACCACCTTCTGTACGACCTCCTCTATCAGGCGAGGTAGCAGATCGCTCAGATAGGCACCCGCACGGAAGAGAGCTGGGGAGGTGTTCACCTGCCACACCGCTACTTCTGGCGTATCAGCCTATCTATCCTCCGGATCAGCTTCGCGCGCGCGTTGTTTATGATCCCCCCGCACTTTCCAATAATCAATCTTCCTTAGAGCCCGGTAAGCTTAGTCTATGTAGCGCGAGACTCATAGACGTGTAGTCGTGGATTCGAGTCCCATACGCGGTAAGAATGTATTATGAAATGTAAGCTTACTAGTTGAAATCGGCGAGTATGGCCGCGAATGCTGCCAAGTGCGAGGTCCTTCACTTTTGGGGGCACTACACGTGAGCGAAAGCGGCTTATGGAAGCTGCGTATCGGTTAGGTGGGGTGGGGTTGGGGCGCTGACCGGCAACGAGACGGCACGGTACCTCGGGTTGCACTATGGCCCAGGAGTGCGGTTTTCAGCATGTACCAAGCAACTACTCGCAGCAGGGAGGCGGCCAGCACCCTGTGTCGAGATAAGAAAATTACCACCCCCAAGCTATGTATGTCTCTCTACAATACACTAGTTGTACCGGTGTTTTCTTAATAATATATCCGAATTCCGAATAAAAAATGTTC